TGGGAGGACCTGGACACACAAAGTTCTTGAGGCTCAGCCCTTGCCTGAATTTGCTTACAATCTAGTGAGGGTTTTGTTTTGTTTTGTTTTGTTTTTTTAATTTATTTATTTATGAGTGAGAGAGAGCAGGGAAAGGAGCAGAGGGAGAGGGAGAAGTAGACTCTGTTGAGCACAGAGCCCGATGCAGGGCTCCATCTTAGGATCCTAATATGACCTGAGCTGAAACCAAGAGTTGGACGCTTAATCAACTGAGCCACCCAGGTGCCCCTCAACTTCAAAAATTAGATAATAAGAAAGCTGTTGTTTAACTAGAGTGAGTGAGGAGTAACGTCACATCTATTCCCCATTTGACCTCTTTCCCTCAGACCACCTTTCCAAGCCCATAGGGATCACGGCTGTTTTATCTTCCGAATATGTCTAAAACCCTATGCGAGGTAAACCAATAAATCTTTCAGAAAGAGTAAATAAATAAAATATCTTCAAGGCTTTGGAGTAGGTAAAGAGTTCTTAAATAGGACACAAACATGCTAACTGCAGATGGAAGAAAATGGTAAATTCTATAAAAGTTAAAACTCTGTTCACAAAATCACATGATTGAGAGAGTAAAACTGCAGGCCACGGAGAAGAAAGTCTATAATTCACATACAAGACTCCTGTCCAGAATATGTAAAGAACTCCTACGTAGCAATAAGAAAAAGGTAGACAACCCAGAAGAACAATGAGCAAAGATTTGAACAGGAGATCACTAAAGGATATCCAAATAAACATGGCAGGTTTTCCAAACATGAGTCACCATGCAATGCAGAGTAAAACCACAGTGTGATATCACTACACCCCCAAATTAAGGAGGTGGTTAGGTAGTAGCAAACATGGACCAAGATGTAGAGCAACTGAACTTCTGTTCACTGCGGGGCGGGGGGGCAGTGCAGGTTGGCACAATCACTTTAGAAAACATCTGGCAGGATCTGGAAAGCTGAGTGGAAGGGAACCCCATGCTCGGGAGCCCCAGTGCTAGATATATACCCGAGAGAAACACATGATATGTTCTTCACATTACGTTTATCATCACCAAATACTACAAGCAATCCAAATGTCCATCCACAGTAGGAACTGTGGAAATGATAAGATGATAGGAAATGTCTTATCCTACAGTGGGGACCAACTACAACTACGTACAACAGCATCTGTAAATATTGCAAGCTTAGTATTGAGTGAAAGAAGCCGAACACTAAGAGTACGCACTGCGTCGTTCTGTGTACGTGACGTTCGAGGACAACTGAACCAGTCTGTGGGGTTAGAATTCAGGAGTACTGATTCCCTTTGGCAGGGAGGGCCTGAAAAGTGGGGCCAAGGTAGCTTCTAGGGTTCTGGTAATATTCTGTTTCTTCATCTAGCTGGTGGTTATACTGGTATGTTTGTAGGAAAATTCATCAAGGCATACTTCTCTTTATGAAAATTAAAAATTACATGATATATATTTATAAATACAAATACAAATAAAATATAAATATTTATAAATATAAATACACACACGTATAAAATAGTTAATGTAAATGTGTTTATATACACATAGATATATATACACACACACAAACATACACACATATATATTCCATCCAAAATGTAACCACTTCTGACCCTCCTCTATGTTATCTCCATTCTAACGTGACTTCAATAGTGTTTACCCACTTCCTCTCTTGGAGTCTTTATCTGTAGCCAGAATAATAGTCTTTAAAACAGAGGCTTGGTAGTATCTGTTTTTGGCTCATAACCAGCAGTAACTACCCATGTCAATCAGAATAAAATCCTCAGAGGAGACCTAGATCCCTGACAGCCTGTATAAAACAGCGTCACCACACAGACCTGTCACGTTTATCCGTTTATCCTGCTTCATTTTTCTTTATAGTTCTTCTCACCAACTGACATACCATTGACTTGGTTCTCAGTTTATAACTGGCCTCTCTCTGACTAGAATGTGAGCTATATGAGAGCAGAGGCTTTAGCTTTTGGCGTCATGTCCCTGATATCTAGAATAGTGCCGGCATAAAGTAGGCAATGAATGAATGAATGAATGAATGAATGAATGAATGAATGAATGAGATGATCACCAAAAAAATAGAGGAAATAGGAGCACCTGTGTGACTCAGTCAGTTAAGCATCTGCTCAGGTCATGATCTCAGGGTCCTGGGATTGAGCCCCACATCAGGCTCCTTGCTCAGCGGAGAGTCTGCTTCTCCCTCTGCCTCTCCCCTCCCCACTCCCGGCTCATGCTAGCTCTTTCTCTCCCTCTCTCTCAGATCAATAAATAAAATATTTTTTAAAAAATATATAGGAAATAGGCAGAATATATATGTTTAGGTTTCTTTTATAGGTTAAGAAACAAGAAAATGAAATTACTTGATTTAATTCAGGAGTACAGCTCAGGCCTCTTTCTCTCTCTCTCCCTGTCCTTTGTCTCCCCATATCCACACATCACACACATCTATGAAACATAATTATATAACCCTGGTGGTTCAGAATTCAGCGAGGGTGACATCCAGGTGAAGATTCATTATACTGGAATTTGGCATTTTTATCTAAGCCTTGTTTTGTGGATATATGGCCCTTTTGAATACATGATAGTAGAAAACCTATCATTTTTCTTGCCAAAAAATATATGTGTTTGGAACCTAGGGATGCTCCCCTCAGCATTCTGCATAAGAAAATTTTTCAAACAAAATAACTCCATTTTTTTAGGCTCTACAACAATTCAAAACTTTTCCGGCCCTAACGATGATTGTTCGTAAGTGCGTATGTCCAGAAATTGAGATTGTTGCCATCAGAAGTCATACTTCCCTGTCCTCAGAGTGAACCGTGGGGCTCCCGGAGCAGGCAAGGGTGTTTATGGTTAATGTCTGTGTCTGGATAGAGACTGACCAGTTACCTTTTCATGGGGCCACCCAGTGGGGTCTGCCACTTGGCAGCTTGCCTAAAAACTGGTGAAATGTGTGCATGTTGGCAGGGGGGGGGGGGGGTCCAGTTTGGTTGCCAACCTGGTTGGCCCTTCAATTTGGGTTAAAAAAAAAAGAGAGTTTTAGGCCCTTTCAGTTACCACATAGCTGATGACACAGTTCTGTTGCTTTGGTTTTTAATTGAAAAAAATGAGAAACAGCGATAAGCCCCAAAGTCCACGGTATGTGCTCAACCACCAGTAAGAGTCTCCTTCCCCTCCTTCGTCTCAGAAAGCAGTAAGCATAACATCAGGCCATAACTGTAACAGCAGATTAAATAATAAAATGAACCCCAAGAGACATTGAGTATAACAAGGCCAGTGTCAGATCATTTGTTCTTCAAGTAGTTCAATCTTTCAATAAGGCAGACAATGATGGTTAGAGGGAACGATGATGCCTTTACTTATGAGTGAGTGCAAAATAGGCATTCCTGTCAGAGGAGAAAGCAATGCCAGATTTCACTTTGAAGCTCAGAATTACAGCTCAGGAGGGGAGAGCGTGGAGTAATGAGGATATATACATGACTCCAGTACGGAAGTTCTGGTTTCATTGGCCGCACAACTTGGAAGCTGTGTAACCCAGGGCCGGTTCATTAACCTCTCTGAATATCGGCTTCCTAGGGGTGTAAAATGAGGATGGTAAAAACACCTAATTTACAGGGCTTTTGTGAAGATCCAAGAAGGTCTTAGCTCTAAAAATATTTTGTAGCCAAGAATACGCTATGATAATGTATAGGATTATTAGTGTGCTTAAATAATTCATTGAATAACCTTCATACCTTCTCCCTAGCTCCTAAGGCCTCTTCCCTAAGGTTTAGCTGAAGTACTGCCCATGCCTGAGGTCTGCCTATCCCCGCTGTTGTAGATTAGGACAGTTTTCGATAATTACACGAAAAAGTTGTATATGTTTCCTGTCTGAACGAGCCTGCCTAAGCCTTCAGAATAGAACTGTGGCCTTCTCTGAAACCCACATTATTAATGCTGTGCATATATGAACAAGCGATTCCCTGACACCCTTGAGGGTAGGAAGATAGATGGAGATTGAAAAGTGAGGAAAATCTCCTCCTTCCCCGTCCCGGATGGAACAAATATTTTCTTCTCTGTAATAGAAAAAGTGGCTGTTTGGTTAACACGTATCCTATGCCAAGCACTGTGCTACACATTATTTGGTGTGATCCTCACAACATCCTGTACTATCATTGCTGCCTATAGACAAGAAGACTATAGACTACTTTAGAATAAGTAACTTAACCAGTGTCACATGGCGGAGTCAGAATTTGAACCCAAACCTGCCTAATTTCTTTCCCGGTCTTTCTCCATTTGGGGATTGATGATTTACCTCCTACATTTTAACTAACTTTGTGTGTCTGTGTTTGCCTTTCTGTTCCTTTATGCTTTCATTTTTTGGTATGCGTGTAATGAGTAGGGTAGAGGCTTAGGACACAGATGCCTAAGGTATGGTTGCCATGCTTAAGGAATTGTAATCCACTGCAAGAAAGATGACAAACAAAACCTATATGACATAGAAGAATTTAAGGGTTCATAAGGGATGGTGCACTAGCCTCCTCGCCTGGAACGTGCGAGTAATACTCTGCTTTATTCAGCTGTTGTTAGGATAGAGTGAAATGCCTTTATCAAGTGTTTGGCAAGGACCCTGACTCCTAGAAAGTGCTCAGTATGTGGACCCTATAGTGTTGCCAGATAGTCCCAGGATAATAACTAGGATCCAAAGCTGGAAAAGCAACGTGGTGCCAGATTTTGAGAGCCTTGAATGCCAGTCTAAAGAGTTTGGACCTTCAGCTTGGTTAAAAACAATTGTGCCAAGGTCAGTAATCATCGCAAAAAGAAATTAGAGCTGATGCTGTTTTGCACTACCTTTCAAAATTCATCATGAGTGAGACGGAGTTAAGGGCCACAGTTGGAACTGGTTTAAAGGACTTTTTTATATTTGATGCACTAAAGGGAAAGATGATATTTCCAAGTTTAATGCCCTGTACTTTTTCTTCCACAGTAATTAGCAAATGCCAAAGGCAGCAACTGGAGTCTGTGAGCTACTCCTCTCGCTACGCTCTGGGCCTCTTTTATGAAGCTGGCACGAAGATTGATGTCCCTTGGGCTGGGCAGTACATCACCAGTAATCCCTGCATACGCTTCATCTCCATTGATAATAAGAAACGCAATATAGGTCAGTACCCCCATTATTTCCCTTAAATACAGTAACAATGGTGGGTGTAGATCATGAAAAATGCTGTTTAATTGAGTGTTACCATTCTGAACAGAGCAAGCATTTAACTCCAAGCCACAGGGGATAAAATTTAATGTCACATTTGGCCAATAATAAAATACACAGTGAAACCAGCAAAGTTTTTCAGAAAATCATTCACCACATGGTTTGTATTACTGAGTTCATGAAAATAGTGTCAGGAGTTTTAAGATTTCAAAATGGCCCAAGTTCTATTGCTTTACTATGGGTCCATCTATATGCAGAAGTATCTCTCCTCCTTTGTGGCTTGGTGGAGTTGTTTTCTGTTTGTTTGGCTGTGTTTCTAAATTTGCTAAGTGCTACTCTTTCCACTTCCCAAGCTAGAAATAAAAAGCGAATTTTACTATGTTATGAAAATCCTTCACTTCAGTATCATCTTATTTATTTGATTTTCATCTGGAAGACTACATAAAATTACTTTGTGTACAATATGACGAAAATGATAAGTAAATTGTTTCGTAAGAGCTTCACTAGAATGGGCTAACATCTCCACTCCACCCTTTTTGTTGAAGGTAGTTATTAAAATTAGATTGGAATTTCAAGAATCAACATAACGCTCATCTCAGGAATAAAGGAGAAAGTGTCTTCTTCTTCGCAGGATTAGAATGATCCCTAAGATAACTGCTTTTTGAAGAATAAGCTCTAACGACCGGAAACGACTAAATTCTTGCAGGGAATTGTCATTTCAGTTTGTTATGGTGTTTTCTGTTGCAGTGATGGTTTCACCAAGCCATTAGTTAGAAGTCTTGCTTGATAAAATCACCAACTAACATCTCTTGGCTTGGCAGAACTTTATAATGATAGAACTGGGCTGGAGTATGGTTTTTATATCAGAGTACTTGATCTTAGAAAAATGTTTCTTTTATAACTTAAAACTCCCTCAGGGCTAGACTGTTTATGTTAACATGATACCACATATATGTACAATCAGCAGTTCATGAAATGCCCTGTAACAACAATGGAGTAACCATTTTTAACTCTACAACTTCTTTGTTCTGAGAAAAGAATAGCCCTTGATCTTCTCATGTTATATGTTATGAGTTGGACATTATCCTTTGTGTCCTGTTTCATAAGATACGATATCTGTTAGGGTGTATTCAGTAATATGTAACAGAAAAACCAATTTAAAGTTGTTTAAACAACATAAGGGTGTGAGTTATGTTATATTATCATTTGTATTATCTGCTGTGGACTGAATTGTATCCCTCCGAAATTCATGTGTTGAAGCCCTAATCTCCAGTGTGATTACATTTGGAGATAAGGCTTTTAGTATATAATGAAGGTTAAATGAGGTCATAAGGGTGGGATCCTAATCCAGGATGATTGGCGGCCTTACAAAATGAGGAAGAGAGAGTTCTCTCTCCTCGTGCACATACTAAGGGAAGGTTGAATGAGGATGGTGAGAAGGCGGGAAGGCAGGCTTTCTGCAAGCCAGGAAGGGAAGCTTTACCAGAAACCCAATCGCCTGGCACCTTGATCTTGAATTTCCCAGCCTCTGGAGCAAAGAGAAATACATTTGTATTGTTTAAGCCATGCGGTCTATGCCATTTTGTTACGCCGGTCCAAGCTGACTGACACATTATCGAAGAGGAAGAAGTTGGGGAGACATCAGGAAGGATCAATTCGAGACCTGAGCAATATCTTCAAGGACCTAGAATTATCCTTCTCTGCTCTCTTCACTCTTGAGGTAGAGACCTTCTTTCTCGGAGGATTGGTACAAGATAGCGCTAACCACTGGAATCACATCCAGACCCAACATGTTCAGGAAGAAGAGGACCATTCTGTTTCTGTTTCTTTCTAAGAATCAAGGAATTCTTTCCAGAGCCCCCTCAACTGACGTCATCTTGTATGTCATAGGTCAGAATTCGGTTTCCTGACCAGTCTGAAAGTCATCATTCACCAGCAGGGGGGATGGGACTGCCACAAAGAACTAGACAGATCAAGATTTACTCCTGGAATTGCTGTTAGGATCATCTTCCTTGAGTCATATGAGGGGTAGATACCTGAAAAAATAGGGTTTTGTTTGGAGGAAAGAAGGGAGTAGCAGATGCTAGGTTGGCAATACATAACGCCCATCGTGAATTTTCAAGTCAAGTCACATCGTAGACGGGAGGTAAATTTCCAAAGTTGACACATAAAGAGAAGAACCGTGTAGGTTCAGAATTATCTTTGAAAATCACTTAAATCTACATGACATTTTGGAGAGAGAAATACCTTTCAGTAAATTCAGGATAGCCATCGTTCCAACATCCCATAGATTTCAGTTTCTTTGGTTGAGGCCAGATGAAGTAGTTGGCTTGCATTTATAGGACAGAGTGATATTTTCTACTGTGAACGGTGCATGGAAAGAAAGAAATAGCAGTCGTAGCTCCTAACAGATTAAATCGCTGTACGAATGGAGTGGGGCAGTGAGTGACAGCACCCAGAGTACAATGCAGTAGCAATTTATTAAAGAGGTATGCAACTTTGAAAGAGCGCAAGAGAAACATATTAATAAATTCTCACATGATTGGCAGCATCTGAAATAAGAGAAATAAAAAAATTTTTTTTGTATTAACAACCACTGAGTTTTAAAGCGGGAAGGCTGGGTAGATTGGAAACCCTGTTCTTGCTACAGCAGGTGCCTCTTCGGACAGCAACAAAATGCCTGCCTTTCTTTGCCAGTTTTATGGCAAGTTAATCTTGGATTATGCGAGTTTTAAATTATGGGAGGCCTCCAGTAATGGCGTCCCCTAACATAAAATCTAACTGCCTTGCATTTAAACTTTTTTTTTTTCCCCTCACTATCTGGGGCCAGGGTGCTACATGTGTCTAGTTGAATTCATACAATATAAATGTCCACATAGAATAACTCTGCTGTATTTTATTGGTGCTGATATTTAAGTAGACCAGTAAGAGTTGTCTCTTTATGTTGCTAACACTACCCCGCACCCACCCTGTCCTTGGAGTGTCTGATTGAATTTAGAATTAATACTGTAAATATACACAGTCAAGTAATGAAGGGGAGGTAAGGCAGCAGCAAGAAAAGAGTGGCAGGGTTGAGTCCACAAAATGCAGTCTGTTGTTAAGTCTTAAAGAGAGCCAGAGGATGAAGGATTCGTGGGCCAGACCAGACAAAGGTCAAGGAGTAGTCATTTGTCAGATGTCGGGAATAGGCAGTTCATGCCGAAAGCCACAGTGAGAACCCAGATCTCCTTAGGCAGAAGGGCTGAATTCCAAGACATGTGAGACCCAGCTTCAGGTACCGATAGTTAGGGGTGGGAGCCACTGTACTTAGGTTTGTGTTTCCCAAAATGCGTTCAATGGAACATGAGTTCCTTGATAGGCTCTGTGGGAAGGGGCTCTGTGATCACAAACATTTGCAAAATGCTACCAACTTTATCTCGAATTTAGAGAGTTTCAGGTCATATTGCTCTATTAAAAGACATTCCTGTTTTTAAAAAGCCACCTTCTCACTCATGTAATCTAAAATTTCCCAAATGTATTTGACCAGGGGTATTTTATTTGAGTGCCATACCTACTAATATCCAACAGAAATGGTGCCCCTGGACACCCTTGGGAAACCCTGACTTGACATCACTGTGTGCCTCCAACCTGCAGGGGAATCGTAGGCCAGTGAAGGGGGGTGGCAAAGGCTGATCTGGAAGCCATCAATAGAAAAATACTGATTTTATTTTTTAGAGATGGGAGAAGCTTGAAGCTACCCTGGAACCCACCAAGAGTTGCCTCATTAGAACAAACGGTAACTTCTGGGGCACCTGGGTGGCTCAGTCATTAAGTGTCTGCCTTCGGCTCAGATCATGAACCCAGGGTCCTGGGATCGAGTCCCGCATCGGGCTCCCTGTTCCGCGGGAGGCCTGCTTCTCCCTTTCCCACTCCCCCTGCTTGTGTTGTCTCTCTCTCTCTGTCAAATAAATAAATAAAATCTTTAAAAAAAAAAGAAGACAACTTCTATCCCTCAAGAAATTCCAAGGGATTTAGGAGCTCCATGTTAGGAACCAGGATCAAAGACCAACTATTTGAACAAAAGATGTTTTTAGTGCTCTTATCACTTGGGAAATTACAAAGATTTTAGGAGCTCTGAGCCAGGAGCCAAGGGGAGAGACTAATATATGTATATATATTCTATTATTTCACATCTCCCAAGAAGATCCCAAGAGATCCCTCTCAAGATCTTATATTTGGAATTAGCCTGGCCAGGAGTAACTTCTTAGATTCAACTCAGTTCTACCTGTTAATAGCTGTTTGATTTTGGATAAATTACTTAAACTATCTGTTTATTGATCAGTATGTTGAGGAAAACAAAACCAACCCCAAAGATTTGGGGATGAAATGGCTTTAACATATAAAAGGAGTTTCATATAGCACTTAGCAAGTAATAAGTCAGTATCTATAGCACCTATTATCACAACTAATAATGCCACTCTTGCATTTGGATATTATATTTCCCAAAGCAAAGGGCATAAATATAAAAGCCTCCCTTTGGTGAATGCAGCCCTCTGATACCAGTGCAGATAGGAGGCTGGGTGGCCTTAATAAGTAAGATATATAAGTTACCCTGAAAATGGTTGGTCACAATTTCAGCATCCTTCCCTGTTCACCATCAGGAAGAGTATTAACGATAGTAAAATAGCCAATAGGCAGCAATCTGAGGAGATTAATATAATCTGCAATTCTAGAAATGTCAATGGCCAATGACTATAATTACACAGCTTTCGATAACTCATCAAAGGAATCCGTTCAATTCATCCCCAAAGAAAACAAACAAATGAACAAACGTTTTCATCACATGGAGTTTACACCTGCCAGGACTTTACTGTCAGGGATCCTTGAGTAACAAACGCTAGTCTAATGTGTCTTGCCTCTAACAGAAGACGCAGGAATGTTCTTCACCGAGCTGTCGATTCCATCAACTCTTTATA